TAAATATATTTAATCAAAACATTAATAAAATATAACTTAACTTCTTTTCGTGTTATAAACAAGCATACCTACATCAAAATAAGCATAAACAAATTTCAAAAAAATGAAATTATCATAATACTAGAAAAAACAATTTTTAACCATACCTACTTAAAGTAAACAGTCCTAAGTCTGTATGAAATGGGAAGGAAAATTGAAATTACTCCGTAAAAAAATGGGAACTAATTCGGATATACTCTCCGTAAGAAATCGGGAACCAATTTGGATACACCCTCCGTAAGAATTCGAGAACCAATTCGAACGTTTCGGAATCAATTCGGATTCAGCATGTTTATCACGTTGTTGTCAGAATCACGTCGCGTCTGCGTTCCATTGTTGAACGCTAAGTACGACAATTTATTATTACAACGGGAACCCAGCGATGACGTGTGCCAGTGATTACCGAGGTATGGGGAAAAAAGTTGAGCTCGCATGTATCTCGTTCCGTAACATAATTGTGTGCGCGGTTTCATGCATTTCGTCTCGCGCGAGTTCCTTCCAACGGAGCGCAAATTGAATTTCCTCAAATCACTTTTCCAAGAACAATGTTACGTAAACCGTTTCAGCGCGCGCTACGAAATCTTAAATGTACCCCGGGTAACATATGCAAATACTTTATTATGCGTGTTTTAGCAAAACATTTTCCTCGACGGGGTTTAACGGGACACGCGTTTCGAGGACGATAATTTTTCTTAGCATTACCAAATTCTGTACACGGTATTTTAAAAAAAAATTGCAATTTTCGTGAAAACGTTTGTCTTGGAAATATGTGTTTAACGACTCTTAAGAATAATAGACGTGCGAAACACACAACTACGTAACACGTGCATTGAAATGTTAGAATTTAGCTATTCAAATCAAACGATTTTTTTGTGTAAATTATACGATAGCAATTTATTTTCTTCACAAATATACTTTATGAATGTATAAATTTCTTTTTAACGGTTGAACAAAATACTTCTGAGTGAATATGAAGAAATTATACCCTACGACGAAAAAGCTGTATAAAAAAAAAAAAAAAAAGGCGAAAAAATGTTCATTGATATTAATATAAACACAATACAATATGGGTATACTACTCGGTTATCCCGTGGGCGTTCATAAAATAACGTATTGATTTTAATTGACACTTTATTAGCATAAATCAAAATTTGAATTTTATTTATTATTTTTTTGCACTTTTTTCTGACGGGAGGAGTTCGATATAATAAATGAAAAATCGGTCCACTCCTTGCTGCGTCTTGTGAATAATTGTATAATGGTGTGTCTTTGTACTATTAAACACGTATTCAACAAAAATAGCACAACGCATTAATTACGTGCAGACAAAATAGTTTTCTATAAAAAAATGTCTATTTTCTATAGAAGATAGACATTTTTTTAAATAATATATATTATAATAATATAAATAATTTTTATCTATCGTTTTTAAAACTGTATGATTTTTGATTATCTGTACATTCATTTAAATATATTTAATTCGCTATAAATCATATAAATGCATCAGTTACATTATTGATTTAATAAAATATTCCACTAAAGTTTCTACTCGTATTTTCGCAGTGGAAATATTTAATTTGTCAATTATCTTTTATCGGTGGTTTATAATTCTATTCAATTTATTGTAGTATAAAAATTCAAAAATTATACTACTAGACTTATATACAATATTATATTACTAGTGTGGTGACGTAAACAACGCACCACGAATCGTCCAAGTTTACAATATTGTCAGTGGATAAGGGGAAATCCCATGTTCTAGAATATTCGATGATTATCTCGTTAAGGTAATTTTGAGAATGTTCCAGACAATCGACGCCGATATATATACCGGCTGGTCAGACGCTCATTCAATCAGACCGTGAATTACACTCCGCCATATATTCGGCAATTCCTCCGCAATTGTAACGCGTATCGATATTTGTACATACATATTTATATAATATACTGTCTATTTTAATTAAATTAAATTGTGAGTGATTTTTATTACTTAAATCCCACACTAGACTACTACTAGACTATTAGACTTCAAAATCTAAATATTTTTTTTGTGTTGAAATTATTCCATTTATAGTAGATATACTTAAAAGGTAAAAGTGATATGAATTTCATTATAATTTAGCCTGCGTTTAGCAGATCTAATTCAATTTCTTTCTATTTAATTAATAACTATAAAGACCAAGATCTTTTTTTAGAATTTGTATGTGAACATTTTTTATACATTTTAAATATTATTTATTCGGTTGATAAAAAAAGTATTATTAATGGGAAGGAAGTGCTATTTAATGAATAAGAGGTTTAATTATTATTATTATTTTACTCCCCTTGTAAATAAAAACATTAGTTGATTAAAAAAATATTCAATTACCATGAAACTAATATTGATCCTGGAGAAGCGTATTAAAGTCACATAACTGTAAACAAAATTTAAACAGAACTAGACATTATATTAAAAGCATTAGCGTACCAGTATATACGATTATTATAAATCTATACTATACTTGGAGTGTCTTCAGTGTATACCTTAAAGTGGCTTCTTGAACTTGTATATTGTTTTTTTAGGTCGGTGACACACATGAGAAATTTGTTTCATAAGATTTGTTTCTTACAATGAATCACACGAAACATATTTCATGGTCAATACACACAGAACAAATTTGTTTCATAAATATTTTTTTCACCTACCCACCATTTAGTTCACTCAGTTCATTTTAGTTGGTCTAAAGATGTCGTCCGATGATGACATTATTGTTCTGCAATGGTGGTTAAATCGAAAGAAAAAGATAATTAAAAAAAAAAGAAGATACTGAGTGCATCCTGCGAACCTAATTAATTTAAAACATAGTGCTACTATTGTTGCAAACGAATTAAACCAACATCCGGACATTTGTACATACCTATTTACGTCGTTAACTGCGCGGGAGTTGATAGTGAAATGACGAAACAATTACACATGAAACCAAACACGTTTGGTTTCATGAAACTTGTTTACAAAATATTTTTGCAATAACGTTTCGGAAACAACAGTGTGTGTTGCTCCATTTAAATACACGCGTTTTCAAGTAACGAAATAAATTTCTTGTTTCACGAAACAAATCTTATGAAACAAATTTCTCATGTGTGTCACCGGCCTTACTGTTTTTACTGTACAATTTACATTTCTCTTTCATTAATATTTATTAAATATGAAACAGTTAAATTTAAAATCAATCATTCTATTTTAAGCTGCACATCCGAATATTTGAAGTAGTATAATTTTGTAATTTTTTATGAAAATCTCTATACACTTTAATGTAAGTCTTATTTCCTACTAAACAATTTTAAACCAGAAAAAACAGGTAAAACTAAATAGCAATTTTAAAAATGTAGCAATCACTGACATTATTACAATATTATTTGACAGAGATTTTTGTCAACGATTTAGGTATAACATGTTTTTATAAATTCGATGATATACATATTATTATACATTGGAAAACGTTTTTATATATTTTTTTTGTCTATTAAAAACCAAAGTGACTCTTTCACCTCACACTGTGTGACACACACTCACACACACAAAGATACATTTATACAACCAGGCCAACTCTCTGATTAGAGTAATTTATTAGTCTAAATATAAATTAAAATCGATAATAATTAATGTTCGTATACTCGTTCAACCTATGAATGAAATTTCGCCGTTTCGGTGTATTCTAATTGACATTGGTAAAATGGTTAAACACATTTCAACAAAGCGTGGTAAAATATACCGGCAACCAAGAATAAGTATAGTAAACATGGATTTATAATGATATATGGTTTAATTAATTCAACGAGGAAATAATATAATGTAGTCAGAGAAATAGTCATATGCATGCAATGGCAGCAACTTTTTTAACCATTCTATGCGCAGACGATTACAATGATTTATAAGAAAAAAACGAAAATTTTTGCAAATAATATATTGTATTATAGTATTATAATACTATATTTCATAATATATATATCATAAACATATCTAATAATAACGTTAAATAATATAATAATTATAAAATTGGATAGTAGTAAATAATAAGAATAGGTAAATTGTAAAATGTTGACATACAACACATTAATAAATACATGTACCTTATATATAAATATATATCGTATACATCAATTTTTTTTTGTCAAAGAATTATACTCAAATGTGTTTGCAATTATTTTAAATATTAAAAATGTCAAGTTTTTCTATTGAAAACTTTGAAATATAAATATTATTATATAATTATAAAATAATAAAATAAAATTAATACATTAAATAAAAACGTTATCTTAATGAAAACTACATAGTTCCATGAAAAATTCGTCATGATAGATTTTTTACTTAGCGTAAGTGTAAATATATATATATATATATATATATATATATAAATTACAAATAAAACCGTTTATATAGGAACCAAAAATAATAAATCGGCAATATTATGTAAGATGTAATTTTTATTATCAATAATTCCAAGATCATAGTAAAATAATAAGAACGAAGATTGACAGTAAGTTAGATTTATTGAACTTGGTCTTATTAAACTATATCAGATGGGTTCATTAAAAGCTCACTGGAACTCGAAAAGGGATAAAGCGGAATACAACCAAATTACACGTGTGTACCCTGGGAATTTTAGATTTATGTAGTTTGAATTACATCAGGTACTCTCGATACAGTATAAAACGTTACAAGTGACAATAAACTGTACTGAAAATACCGTGGCTTGGATCTTTTAGTTTTATTTTTTTTTTTATTTTTCCCCAGAAAATTATTCAAATCTAAAGTATGAAACAAAACGTGCATCAGATATACATAGTATTGTTGTATACATATAAACGCATACGAGCAGGGATACGTAGGATCATTAATAGAACTATTAAATTTTATTTCCAATAAACTTCATTGGATTTATTCATGATTTTATTTATATATATTTTTATTTTTTTTACAGAAACCTATTGGTGCGTTGGAAAAACGGTCTAAATGTTGTTTGTGTTGTAAAAGCAATAGAGTAGTATTGCAGTGCTTACTGGAAAGGTCAGCTTACGTATGCGGTGAAGCACTGAGACTAAAAGCTAATATAAAAAATCAAAACGAAAAGGACATCAGGCTTAAAGTCAGATTACTTCAGGTACAACTTAATTTCTAGGACTACGCTGAAATTATCACACATTGTTATTATATGCTTATGGAAGTATTAAATGTTAATTTAATATATAAATATTCCATCATCCAAATGCACCAATCTCTAAACACTACACAAAAACGAATTCTGAAATCCTCCTCGACGTATCTAAAGATATGTAGTCAAGATCTATTGAGTCAGGGACATAAAATCCGAAAATTAATCCTATCGCTGGATATCTTACCTCTTCTAGTTTTACTCCGATCTACATAAATTAAAATAATGAAAATAACTGTATAATAATATATTTTTTATCTTAGTACCTTCATTAATCATTTTAAAACATTTTGTGTACATTGCAAGTGATATATATGATAAAAACTATTGAACAATAGACACAATGGCGTATTTGAGGGGGGGGGATGGGGGCAATCGCCCCCCCCCCAAGAATTTTTAGACCAAGACAATTTTTATGTAAGTAATGGGTATTTTATTAAGAAACAAAAATTATGATTTATTTTATAGTATTACTACATTTGAAAACGTTTCAAATTTTACACTAATTTAAATAACGCAAAACGCTAAATTTTTCATAACGTTTTAACTGTCAATAATGGTAAACAAAAATTTTTTTAAAGGTTTAAATTTGTATAACGTTTAAACACTTAAATTGAATAACGTTTAAATTATTTATAGTGTTAAACGCTCAATTGCTTATAATGTTTATATGTCCCATAACGATAAATAATATATATTATTTTGATTGACCATACTTAGTGAAAAATTAGATAAAACATAAACGAAACTTTCAAAACAAAGATAGGTGTTAAAAAAGAACTACACAAAAGACCATTTTAAGTGGATCCGGCATTAGATTAAAAAAAAAAAAAAAAAACTACAAATATTAAGGATTCACCTGATATAAATACTACCAACAATTTTACTTGTAAATGTTGAGCCTGAATTAAAGAAAAAATTTAAGTCGCCTCCCCCTAGAAGTAAGTCTAAATACGCCCCTGAGTAGACTTACTTGAATATTGCTTCTATAAATTTTTGTTTGATTTAAAATGTTAATATAATATAAGCCATTAATATTTTTTTTAAATTTTCAACCACAACAATTCAGTAAATATTTTCATTAAAAGTAATTTATTTCATAATACATAATAAATCGTTGATAAAATAACCTATATTATGTACTTTTTTGAATTTAATACAGAATACGAAAAATCCCAATGGGTTATTAAACGAAAAATGATTAAAATTAATATCAAATAATATAACAGAAAACGATGAACGATTGAAACATAAAAGAAATTGTCATCGAAAAATATTCATAGTTATTTTTGTAAAATTGACTTAAATTACTTAGGTGATCTAAATAATATGTATATAAAAATTATGTTTAAAACAGCAATAAATGTGTCAATTAATAATATATAAATAAGCATTACCAAATATAATTTATAAATATGCTTTCTGATAATAATATCGGCGCGGAACCCTTGCCTGCCTCATCAAAAATAATTTCGGTGAACACCAATGAAACATTAGTAGTAATACCACAGAATAAATGAAATCAGAATGGTCACTTCTAAATGTAAACAAAATTTAGCCACCATATTTTTAGAGTACTAATTACTTATCACACTAAAAGTGATAACATTTATTCTGTAATTGTTTTGAAAACATTGACATGCACGTACTTCATAGTTCATTGTATTGACTCAATAAACATTGTGTATCAAACCTTGTTAATTTCTAAATAAATAATTCTCGTATTTATTGTACATCAAAAAAAGTTATTTATTTATTTACAATGGGAGGAGTGAAGTGTGCTGTGAAAGGATGTAAAAATTCAATGAAAATTATTATTGGCATAGTTCTATTACAGAATAAATTAAAATTATTCCGTTTTACAATGTTATTAGTGGTAAACTGTTATATATTTAATTAATTTAAATGATGAATTGAAATATAAAATTAAATTTCAATAATTATATGTAAATGCTATAATACAACAGCAGGTCGTTGTGGCCGAACTGCCGTTTCGTACATATTCGACATTAGCCGTTGGACTACAATAGTGAGACTTACCATATGATATATTGTATATTCTCTAGTTGGAACTTAGTTTTCATCTACTCAGCTAATATACATATTATATGTATAGACTAACCAATAATAACCATGTAACAATCATTCAAATGTAGTTCGTGAAGACATATAAATAATGAAAAACACATGCAACTACTTCACGGTTCCATGAACTTTTTATATTTGTTTTTATATATGACTGATCCGAAATACAGCTGCATGTCCCCAGCCCCCCCACCTCGGACTTTCGACTTCAAATTTTTACAGTCGTTTGTGCTTCGTTTGTGCTTGTTTGTGCTTTTATTCCCGTCGTTTGTGCTAAACCCGTTTCCGAGTTATTGAACTTTCAAGGTGGGGGGACTGGGGACATGCTCAGCCCCCCCACTACCTCGGACTTTCGAGTTCAAATTTTTACAGTCGTTT